TTGCCCCTCAAGATACGAACACTCTCACACCTGGGGCTGGCCCTTAGAGACCCACTCACCCCTTGCTCCCAGGCCATCTCACCTGCTCACCAGCTGGTCTGGCTTGATCTTCACTAGCAAATACACATGCTTACACACCTGCACTTGGTCCAGTTGTTGCATCATGGACACGTGGGCCCTCCAGCCCATGGTCTGACTCCAGATGCTGCACTCACACCCCATACACACTGAGTAGGGAACCTGCACCCAGGAGAGACCTAGAAAGGAGTTTAATAACAAGACAGGACAGACTGCAATGGTCGGCTGAAGTGTACATACGACCTGCAGCACTCCACAGTCAGAAGAGGTTTGCTGTACTTGCCACAGCATTGCACAGCCCGGTGACCACAGCAGCGGGGTTGGGCCGCAGGCAGCTGGCAGGCACGGGCTGTAGTACGACATGTCTCGCGGAGGGAGGGACCTGATACCCATGCGTGATGAGGTGTTGTCTGTCCCACAGGAATAATGTCATCTGCTGCTGCCAGCGGGCTTAGAAACTCGCCCTCATGGCTGAGTTGCCCTGTTAGGTTGATAAAATGGACCTGTCAGCTTTGGTTTCTGTAATGAACTGATACAGATCGCAGAGTTTGGAGGGCTTTTGCAGCCCATGTTTTGTAATCCAGGGTTTCATCCTGTGCATACACTGCAAAGTAGATAGGAAAGAGCCTGTGTAAAAGCAAAATCCTGTCTTTACACTGGAAAGCAAGCAAAGTTATTTTCAGAGAAGGTAGCTACTATATAATATTTGTATCTGTGAACAGTTCTTTGGCAGGGAAGGGGGTTTCTAAGCAAGGAGGCTTTCTACTCTTTTTGTTTCTGTGGCATACATGAAAATAGGGCTATCTACATAGTATGAAGGCTGCATGCTGATTTGTCATCTTTTTTCTTCCTCCAAAAGGAGCTTAGTGGCAATCGATGCCACAGACTTCATTTCTCAGGTGTCTGACGTGTGCCTCTGGGAATGGGTTTGGAGACATGGTGGCACTCAACTAGGACTGCAGTCGGGAAGCTGTCCCGTAAAGCTGTAAAATGCTTATCAAAGCCTTGAAATTGAATGCTAAAAATAGTGACTACTTTTGACCTTGATTGCATATCAGTGATGAAACAGTAACATACACCTTCATGTTACTGGATTGCTGCTGGAAAAATATCTGTGGAAACTTTATATATGTGTGTGTGTGTGTATATGTGTATGTATATATACACATGTATATATGTATGTGTTTATATATAGAGAGATATATATGGATGCATAAATTGCATACAGTAAATACATTATTATGTAATCTTTCACACATGTATCTCATAACCTTGGCAAGCATATGAGGAATTTAGTATTTTCATTTTCAAGCCTGGTTTGAATAATACTCGTTAAACAGAAAACAAAGGGGAAAAGTTACTGAATAGCTCTCAGTCACCGAATGCTGTCTTTCATGTCTCTTAAATTAAGAATCAGACCTGTGGAAAACAACTAAAGGTTATGTAACCTAATACATAATCAGAAGTGACTGTGGCAGACTGAACACCAGTCATAATTCTATCTTTTCCTAAACACTCCACAGTTAGGAAGCTTAATAACTTTATTTTTTTTAAGAGGAAATGGGAGGGTTGTGAATGACTGGCAAACCATTTAGAATGATGATCAGTTCTGAGACCTGCAATATTGTTTAGTCTAACCTGTGTTCACTGAGAAGTACAATGACTGTAACATTGGTCTGAGACAAGGGTGTCTCAATGCCAAATGGCAGATGCGTTGTGGGCTAGATCACTCAGAAGAAGCCAAATGAAGAAACTATAAACAGAAGTCTACTGTGAGGAAAGCAACTACAGTGTTGTTTATCATAGCCTTCTGCTTTCGACTTTTTCAAAACACAGAGGATAGCACCACAGTCTCATTGTCCAGTTAACACTGGGGTATGAAAGGAAGAAGATATGAGATCTGAGAAGATGGGAGAGATGAAGAAGAAAGTTTTAGGATCCGGTCCAACTCAAAATGAAGTTAATATTGAATTTCCTTGGTGCTTGGGAACTCTGACAAGTCATGAGGTTCATCATACCAATCAAAAAAGGAGTTGGACAGGCCCATGTAACACTACTGAATTGCCAGGCATTCAGTAGTGCTGATGGGTCTATCAAATCATAGAATCATAGAATCATAGAATACCAGGTTGGAAGGGACCTCAAGGATCATCTGGTCCAACCTTTCTAGCACAATCTAGATGAGATGGCCCAGCACCATGTCCAGCTGAGTCTTAAATGTGTTCAGCATAGTGGAGTCAACCACTTCCCTGGGGAGATTATTCCAATGATTGATTGTTCTCATAGTGAAAAATTTACCTCTCGTGTCCAATTGGAATCTCCCTGGGAGTAACTTGTACCCGTTACCCCTTGTCCTCACCATGTGACTCCTTGTAAAAAGGGAGTCTCCGTCATCTTTGTAGTTCCCCTTTAAGTACTGGTACATGGTGATAAAATCACGTCTAAGCCTCCTTTTCTTAAGGCTGAACAAACCCAGCTCTCTCAGCCTGTCCTCATACGGCAGGCTTCCCAGACCCTTGATCATCTTGGTGGCCCTTCTCTGG